CTAGCGCACACCATTCATTTTCTGTGTATCATCTAGAAGGAGGCAGTTCAAACTGAAGTTAAGAAAATAAGCTTATTAAAAAAAAAAAAAGCAGCCACACATACCCCCCACACACAACCAAGAAAGTCCATGGAGTTACAAGCACAGACCAGACATGTAGTGTGACAGGACCAAGAAGGTTATGCTCCAGAGAGGCGGGCATAGCTCTACCATAGACTCAGAAAAAGCCACTTCCCTTTGTAATTACAAAGGAAGTGGAAAAAGCTATCATTGGTAACTCAGAGAAATAGCAATTAAGGCATCTCCTTAGAGCTGATAGAACACGTGCCTTCAGCATGCAAGGGAAAGGAAGAGGGTTTCCTTAATAATGAAGATGAGAAGAGGAAAAAAAAGCCATTCTTGCCAAAAGCTCCACCCATAGACCCAAAGCAGCAATTCCACAAAGTGATCAGCCATGAGAGCAGTTGGTGTTATTACAATGATCTGCTTGTTTTTCACTTAGAGGCCCCACTTCCGTAATTGTTCCAACTCTCTCAACTCTACTTAATTTCCCTGTTGAGGGAAGAGGAAGGTTACAGAGCTGTCTATAAAAAGACAAAGTTTCAGAAGGAGCTTTAAATGGATTCTCTGTAAAGTTTTTATTGACCCACCCAGCCAATACACCTTTTCTAATTTTAGGCTACAGAAGGGGAAGGAGGCAAGGGGTTGTTGTCTCTCCTACAAGATTCTGCTATTTCAAAAACTAGATGCGGGAACCAAGTTTCATGATGCTTCTCTTTGCTGAGGAAGCCAAGCCTCATCAACATCCTCATTGAGGCAACACTGGCCTGGACCACACTGCCAAGCTAATACTTTAAGTGCTCAATCACAGGAACTATTTAAATAGACTTTGGCCAGCAGATTCAACCAGAGTAAGGCCAGCTTGATGCAGACAGCATCTGCTCAATTAGAAAAATAAGACACTGCAGTATGGATGTAGCCATGAACTTTGTTTTCCCTCCTCATTTATTTCCTCTCACTTGAAGGGACATCCTACCATATAGCAACAAGGAGCTAGAGAAAGCCAGTGATCAGCAGCTCCAAGCCAGCTGGCCCCCCAGCAGCAGTCAGGGCAGTCAAAGGGGTTTTCCATGCAGCTTTTGGGAGGGGGGTTGCCAGCAGTATCTCTGCTAGTACGCACTTAAAAGAAGGCAGCGCAGGGGTTCAGCTGCCTGTAAGGCAGGTGGGGGAGAAATTCATTCCTGCAAAGGCTAAGCAGCACCTCTTCTGCCTGTCTGGCCCCACCTCTTAGCAATAAGGAACCCAAAGATCCACCTGAATGGAAAAGCTATGGAGCCCACTGAGCTTCCTGTTACCACTAAACACCTGGTCCTAGATGCTTGCTCCAGCTTCTGGCCTGAAGATCCGACAACAACTTCTGGTATGAAACCAGCCAGGAGATTCTCAGCAAGGGAGGAGGGCAGGAGCCTGAAGCTTGCTTTAGCCAGCAATGGGATGGGACCTTGTAATGGGCAAACACTCTCCAACCAGTACTGCAAGCCATATCAGGATTAGCCAATGTCTCAAGGGTTAATTAGTTCACTATGCACAGATGGTGGCTGGTAGGGTTCAGAGAGTGGATTAACCTAATTTGTGGTTTGTAATGGATGCAAACATCCATTACTAGACTTGAGGCAACTCTGCCCTTATTTTGACTTGAGGAGAGAAAAACCACACAATGGATGCTTGCATAGAAGTAATGCCTATTTTGAGTGACAAATGAGTTGCTGTTCACTTGGTTAATGTGATTGCCAAATTCAAGTCTGAGGAGCAATTCCTTCCCTTTTTGCTACAGGGGGTCTTTGGAGAGGCCTTGACGAGACCATTCATTACAAGCATATAGAATATACCCACTCTAACCACCCCTTACAGTTGCGGAGAGGCCTCTCTGGCACTGACAGATGGCTGTAGAGCAACAATTCAATTGACTGGAAATATTAAGGCAGCTTTCTGAAGCAGCTCTGCAGCATGTCAAGTAAAGCCTTACAAATTCAAAGTAACAGCACGCATGGCGGTCTAGGCCACAGCAAACACCTATGCCTGTGCAGAGCCTCAGCTACTCCAGAGAAGCTCCAGGCCTTGAGCCGACTGCAGGTTAAAGCATCTCTAACTGGATCCTATCTGAGTAGGAGACTGCATGTTTATATAGCACTTAGCAGAAGAGGAAGCCTGGCTCAGGGCTGCCATGCAGAGATGCCCCAGATCAGTGCAAGACTCACTTTCTGTTTAGCTAAGGAGGTACCATGCTATTGCATTTGGTTCGGAAGGTCTCTAATGTTTACAACCAGTATCTGCTGCAGAGATAAATGTTTCCATAACTCCTATTAAACTCTGAACTTACCCAATCCCTTTCTGCTTTAAGGGGTAAGCAGAGGACTAGCCAGACTCACTGGCAAGGCAGAGGTCAGGGTAGAGGTGATCTTGGCTATCAGAGGCATTCCCCAAATGTTTCTGCAATCAGCCACACTCGTGTCAGGCCTGCACATGCCTGAAACACAGCAGCTGTGGGATTCCTGTCGGACAGCGTGGGACAGCCGTGCTCATACCCAGAAGCTGCCTCCCAGCACATCTTTGGGCAGGACAGAAGATGTGTTTGCAGGGCTGATTTTTTTGGAAGGTGTTTGCATTTGAAAGTGTCTCTACACCTCTCATTTAAAAATGGAGTTTGCACCTATGCAGGAAGCTGTGTTTCCAAGCTGTTATCTTGCAAGGCTCTTACAATACCCCCAGAAAGCTGTTCTTATTTGCCCCATTAGTCATTCAAGTGTCATAAAGCTGGTCTTTGTTAAAGGCTGTAACTACCAGCTCCCTTGGTGTACTCCTTAGCTAGCTGTGTGCACACTCCCACAATAGCCATCTCCAAGCAGAATGAAACATCCCCAGCACCCTAAATCAGGGGGGAAGAAGGCTGAGAACAGAGCCCCTTTATGCAGCTCCTTTTGGTCAGAGGGCTGCTTCACATTCCTTCTAGCACAGCATAAGGGGAAAAAGAGCATCCTCCAAAGTCAACCCTTTCCACATCCTGGCTGTCCAAGTGGCCAAACACCATGCACCAAGAAGCAGAGAACAGGAAACAGTCCCAAGAGGAGCAACTGCAGCACATGGAGGTGCAGTAGCCAAAAAGGGGGATCCAGTTTCTGAGCTCTGGCCTAGCAGGGACAGATGAGCCACTTGGGATGACAGCAGAGCACCACCCACAATCAGGATCTAAGCTACACTGACCCAACTTCAGCCCTCGGCCCTGCAGGGTCAGAGAGGATCAGCACTCACCTCCCTACAGAGGGGCAGAAATGGCTCCCTATACTCCCAGGGCAACACTTAGCACCCTTTAAGGGAAGGGTTGCAATTCCCGTGCATGTCAACTGGTGCACTGAGCCCAGTTTCCTCATGATGTTCTAGGTCAGCGCTTAATCAGGTTACCCCAGAGACTTCAGTGGTGTTTTTCCTGAAAGTCCTCACACAGCCTGACACCCCAGTGATCTGGATGTGACTGTCTGAGCCAGGAGCTCTTGCAGTCAGCTCTGCCTTCTGCAGACTCTTTTACCTTCAGGCTCTGCACCTCTAGAGAAAAACACTGCTTGCCAGTTTATTTCACTGGGCATTGTGCATAGACAGTTTACTTAACTTTATGGTTAAGAGGTGCAAGGAGCACTGAGCACAACTGCATCTCTAGAAGGATCGGGGTTTTAATTGCAACCCCAGACAGAAGCTTTGCAGAGGATCCAGAAGATGAAGCGTGCTATATAGTTTATATAGTGTCAGGCCAGTACCACACCTGCCTCTTCATTACCACCACCCACCTGAGTTTACAATACCTGCTAGAGGAATTAAAGGAAAGAACTGCCAATATTGGTCTGCAAAGGCAGTAACCATTTAATGTACAGGAAGGTAGGGTCAAGTGACAGCTCCCCATTAGCGTATCACTTAGCTCATTACAGGATTGCAGGGTAAAAGCTTTCATAATTAACCAACAAATCAGTCTAGGCAGTGCCATTCACCAGAGCTACAAGTATTATATTCATCTTTCCTCTTCTCCCAGAGACTAAGCCATTACAGTGTTTCTTCACCATCTTCTAAAAAAAAAAAAAAAAAGAAAAAAGAGAAAAGGAAAAAAAAGAAAAGAATCTTCCCCTCCCTTGCATACAGGCCAGAGTTTTCCAGGAGTCACTATTGGCTTGACAGGCCCCTCTTTGGATGCCCTGAAGAAGAGATGGAGCACCCAAGACTCCAAACAAAGTCAATGAGAGTTGCAGGTGCTCAACGCTGCAGGTCAGGGGGGACACCCTAACTCATCCAGCTCAGGGCAGCCAATCTAGAAGCTCATTATTACATGTCCCTTTTGAAAACACATCTGTAAAAATCACTAAGAGCTACACAATGGGAGGGGAAGAAAAAACATTTGGATTTATATAGTTTCAAATCAGAGTTTCACAACACATTTACATCCAGGGTCTTAAAAAACAAAGCACTGAGTTAAAGCCCTTGAGTCAGCCCAAACCCTAGACACAAGCACCAAGAATATTTTTGCATCAAGACCTTCACAAGATCCTTTTGGAAAGGCAAAAATAAAATTCAGAATACTTTTTCTCTTGTAGTCTTTCTCAGGCTGCATTTTGACTGTATGCTCAGGTAAAGATAAGTTAAAAGAAAATAAAAGAAAAAGTGAAAGAAAAAAAAAGAAGAGAGACAGATAGAAATTCAACACAGCTACCCTCCTGGACTGGAGGAGAGGCTGTATAGGTACAGTCAGAGAAGAGCAGTCATTTTAACTGCAACACTATATGAGGTAGGTTTCTTTTCCTCACCAGTGCAAGTGAGGAAAATTGATGCCTGTCTCCAGCAGGCTTGGGCAATACAAAAAAGTTAAACAGCTACACAATTTCATGCAACACAAGATACAGGAAGGTTTAAAAGGAAAGTCCTCTTTAGCCATGCAGTACATACAAAGCTGGGCATCTTACCTGATTTCCTCTTCGAAGACCCATAGTCCCTGAAAAAGAGACAACAACAAATAGACATGGTTAGCGCTGGAAACGTCGGTGAGAGGATGGGCGCGTCCCAAATTTCCACCCATACGCTCAAGGGCTCATCCTGTCTGCTCCCTGCTTTAAAGAGGAGCTCAGGGCTGCAAGGCATTGACAGGCAGGGGCTGGGACAGATCCTGAGCGGCGCCGGCTCATCAGCGGCAGCAGCTGGGGCTGGGGCAGCACAGGGGCTCGGGGAGCATGTGATCAGCTCGACAGAGCAAACCATCCACAAGCAGCAAGGCAGGGGAGAAGGGTGTCATTTTTTCCCCTTTAAATCCAGCTACTAAACGCACAGCTACTGAATTAACCCCTGAGGTTCCCCCGGGGAGGCAGGAGAATATTAACCGTTTGCTGGAAGGGTGCGGCCGCCGCAGGCTCAGCCGGCATTGCCCACAGCCCTCCCCTTGCGGAGGGCAACTAACTCCTGCGTAACCTCCAGACCCCTCTGAGTCATCTCTGTCAAGCACTTGTCCTCCGCAAGGAAAAAATCCCCAAACTTAATCCTTTCGTCGTGGTTCCAGGCTGGGGGATGCACCCGTCCTTTTTTTACAACGGTTTAAACGAGCGTTTGCACCTTCGCTCGCGACAGAACCGCCTAAAGCTCAACAAGCTGTTACAGACCCGGCGAGAAATTACAGAACAGACTCTGCGAGAACCGACTCCGGAAAAGCAGAGCCGCGGCCAAAAACACTTTGCCGTGGCCGTGCCCTCCTCCCAGGGCTCTCCTGAGCCTCCCAGACCCTCTGTGGAAACGAAGCCTGTATCGTCGGGAGCCAGGACAGGGACGGACCCAGCCGAGACGGCGTCGCTAGTGTTCGCTGGCACAGGGACCGCTGCACGGTCACGCGCCCCCCGTGGGCAGCGTTAACATTGGGGAAAGTCACCTGCTAAAGCCACTGCAGAGGCAGGCTACGCGTGCACGAGTCCCGCGGGAGGCAGTGCAGGCGCTGCAGGCAGCAGCCTCTCCCTTTGCCGGGGCCAGGCTGCCAGGAGTGGGATTTTGGCTCTTGCAGCATGCTTTCTGCTCCGGAGGAATCAGAGAAGATCCCAAACTGTGTTACTTAATGTCAAGAAAGTTTGGGGGATCCTCTGAAGTAACGATGCGTCCCCTGAGAGCAGAGGTATGTCTACAAATATATCCCGTAGGATTCGCTTCCAGTGAGTAGTAACTGCTTGGGAGTTTTTCGCACCCTCTTCAAATTTTCCAGTGTCATTTCTATTTCAATTAAATGCTTGTTTCCTCAGCTATGTCTGCAGTTGTATTTGATGTGAAGATGCTACTGCTCATGAATAGGCTGCTTCTTCTGCAGAAATGGAATCTCAAGCAAACATAATGCCAACTATACTGTGACCAACTATACTGAGACCCCCTCAGAGCTAGCCAGGGAAGGCAAGACCCATGAAACACAGTCCTGGGCCCCAGACCTGCTCCCACGCCAGCCTGGAGCTTGGTGGATGTGGTCAGCACAGCGCTCTTGCACATGAACGCCTACGGCTGCCCTGCCTGGCTCCTGACAGTGCCCAACAGTGAGGGGCTGAAGCCCTCCCGAGGGCTAGGGACAGAGACCCCCTCAGAGCTAGCCAGGGAAGGCAAGACCCATGAAACACAGTCCTGGGCCCCAGACCTGCTCCCACGCCAGCCTGGAGCTTGGTGGATGTGGTCAGCACAGCGCTCTTGCACATGAACGCCTACGGCTGCCCTGCCTGGCTCCTGACAGTGCCCAACAGTGAGGGGCTGAAGCCCTCCCGAGGGCTAGGCAATACGCGCTCACCCATGCACTCAGTACCATCCTGCTGAGCTACAGCCCGCTTTCGGCTACAGTTGTGGTGCCTTTGCATGGAAGAGCTCAATGGTTACACTGGACCAGCAGGACTTGGAAGAGCTGGGTCCATCTCTGCCCGAAGCACCATGAACCACAAACCCTCAACGTGGGGTGTATCGAGGGTGGTTCCACCCCCTTGGGTTTTTTGGCAAAAAAAAAAAAAAAACACTTTTGCCACAATGGAGCCACTTTTAAAAAGTCGCCCAATTCACATGATCGCAAATGCAGTAGTGATGGTTTGATACGGTTAGTGAGCAACCAGAAATGAAAATAAGATGTTGCTGAACATCTCTCAGCTGACCAGATCAAAGTCAGTGCCCAGGTTTGGAAATTATGGTGGAAGAAGATGATTTGCCACTGCTCTGGCTCTGCACTGGTGGAAAACGCCACGAAATGCTCCGAATGCAAACCTCCTTTCTGGACCCCCTCCCATGTCTTTTGATCCAACCTCTGGCTATTCATCAGGGTTTGTGTGAATGACTGCAGTAAGGTTTTAAATGAGGCTGATTCTCCAATTCCAAAGGATGACTCATTCATGCAATTTAAAGAAAGCAAAGATTTAAAAAATGAGCAAAAATTAGAAACTATTTCCCTCTCTCTACATGCAGATCATGGGATGGCAATGGATATTACAGCATAAAGAATTTTTCCCCCATTTGCTTTATTTCTGTTCACATCCTCATTTGGCCGGCATTTCTTCCCCAGTAAAAGCATATCATTTATAGAAGCGTTCCTGCCATTAAACGGTCTCCTGCAAGCCCTGCAGCAGGCAGACACGTTCCACGTCACACCGCTAACGCAAGCACAGAGCACTGTGCCGGATACAACGCCAGGAGCCACGTTTCTGAGCAAGGGCAGGCATGGAGCCAACTCAGGCAACAACGGTCCATGTGGGCTGGCGCTCTGGTCCAGCAAACCCCGTAACTGCTCATCTTAGGGCTTGTGCACCATGAAAACAAACATTTGGATTAGTCTGATGAGGGAAAAAGTCCCTTACCCTCACCAGCTGGTGCACAGCGAGTGATTGCAAGGGAATGAAGCAGCCAGCGGCTTTCAGTGATGTCCCTTTGAGATCAGGCAGGATATCTAGCATCCACAAGAGGGTTTAGACTGTATTCAAACTCTCGAAAGCCCAGCTCTGCTTCACTCTCTTTCCCAGTGCTGTGGGCTCACTCCCCTCTCTATAATGGCATTACGACACCGACTCCAGCCAGGCTGCTCTGGGGAACATCAGTGGCAAGCGTAAGACACCTTCCCTGCTTGCTCCCCCATGCTCTGCCAACGCGCACCGGTTCCCTCTCCTGGTCTTCTCCTGCATCCCAGAGCCACGGTGTTTCCCTAGAGTATTCAGGATGTCCACCCAGCTCCTGGCTGCCAAATCATTTTGCTCTTCTTCAACGTACTTCCCAAAACTCAAATGAAGACCAAAAGGAAGATGGGAACCTCACTTGGTCAAGTACTTTACAAACCCCTATGAAGAAGCAACTCCAGCAAAAGTAGAATCTAAAGACTGAAAGCAAAGAGAAGATGGGAGAAGGTGTGTTAAAGATGCTCCACTAAAGGGGAGCTGTGGCAAAAAAGACAACTGAACCTACAACTTCTGTCTGAGTTCCCAGTCTTAATCATAAAATCACCCTTCCAAAAGAAATTAAACAATTATTGCAAAATATTTATTTGAATCACCCCCCTCTCCTAACTCATGAGGCTTACTCGAAAAGAAAGCTAACAATCAGTCTTGGGCAGGTTTTCATTCTCTTCATTCATTCAGGTCTTCATTTCTTTTACTCTTTTTGTAAGTTACAAAATCAAGCTTTATCAAGTTCTGATTTTGGATTTCCAGAAGCCCCTGTATGCCATGTCCCTCTGTCCTGTAGGTTTTCTGTACACCCACATTTCACTCATAAAATCAGGACACAGCAGTATAAAATAAAACGGAGCTTGAAATAAAATCTTCATCTTCCCAAACAAAACTCTGAAGGCCAAAACTTGTTCCTCCCAGCTAGAATGGGAGAAAAATTGCAGCTGAAATAGAAGTCTCTGGCTGGATAAAGTGCGTTTTGTATACATTCTCCTGTTTTCTGCCAGTGAAGAAAGTCTATGCAGCTGCTTTGCAATAGTAGCAGCAAGGAGCCATGCCTGATTCCAAATTTATTTTTAAAATTCGATTCAGCTTGTGATTCACTGGTGTCTTTCTTCTCTCCCAAGAGACAGTCTAGAAGGTGAGTATCTCTTAGCCTCACTATTTTCAGAGGAATATCAGTGTGAGTCTGAAGTATCAGATTATGTCCAGGATAATAAAGGAAATTCTTTAATGGCTTCTCTTGACCTGTAACAACCTCCAGGTAGGAGCTCTGAGCTCTGGTCTTCTCTTGCAATACGGATTGTACCTAACAACTGCTCGCCCTTAAATCAGACAATAAACCTGGCCTTGCAGAAGAAAACCCTTTCATGGAAATGTTTGCTCTTGATCTTTTTATCTTTATACACACATACATTTCCATTTTGATTTTTTTTCACTTCTATTTGAGAACAGATACTGCCATCCTCATTTCACTTTCAATTATACCTATAGCATAGCAGTGAAACCAGCAGGCAGAACTAAGAATAGCACTGGCAGATCCTTTATTCATTAGCCAGAATCACTCCATGCTTGAACAAATCCCTTTCATAGAAATAGCATATTTCCAGCTTTACTCTCATCAGAACATAACAATTTGGTTTAAAGTCTTCCTATGGGGCAACACCTTTCATTGACACTGAACCTCATTACTGGTACGGAAAGTATTTCCTACTGCTAATGATATTAAAATATTGTTGGTGCCAAGCGTGGCACACAAGCTGAACACAGTCTTCTTGCTTTAATGACAAAGGAGAGGGAGTCAGGATCTCCTTTCTCATCAGCTTTACACCAGGATAACATTACTGATTTGACTTATACCAATGAATGTGGAAGGAAGACCATGAGTTTTGGTACAGAACTGACTGTGCTGCTATCGCATTAAGCTATTCACAGCCAAGAATTTTGTGAAACATAAAAATACATTATGTCACTGAATTTATATGTCACTTGCAATCCAATATAATCTAGAAGGTTATATTAACAATGCTACTGAAAAGTTTTATGGCACAATCTTCCTTTG